AAGTGGCCGGAATTGATGATGCACTGGTACGAAATCGAACAGGACCTGCCGCAATATCGGACGCAGCGTGAGAAACGACGCATGGCGCATTCCATCAAAATGGTCATGTTGGTGGGCATGATGTTGGCCTTTGGTAAGTGGCTTTCTAATCCAATTTAAACTTTGTAATTGATGTCTTGTCTATTCATCACACACAGCGGAACATTTGCTGAGCATGATTTCGGCAATAAGTTATGCTGCATATTGCAATGAAACTGATGATCCCATAAGAAACTTCTTTCTGCTGACCAACGATGAGATTTTCTATGTTTTTGACTACTCCACGCCGATCGCGCTGTGGGGCAAAGTGCAAAATGTTTACTCTACATTCATATGGAACTATATGGATATTTTAGTCATGATAGTCAGCATCGGCTTGGCATCCAAATTTCGTCAGCTAAATGACAATTTGCTAAAGTTCAAAGGCATGGTGAGTAGGGTTTTCATTTCCAGATCTGTTATCTAAGTGGCTGGGCTCGAATTGGAGATGGGCTTCCCACTTATTGCATATATTTTTGTGGCATTATATTTACTCTAATTCTTACTGTTTAATTTAATTTCTTTAACTACTTTATTTTAGCATATGGCTCCTTCTTACTGGTCGGAGAGGCGAATACAATATCGAAATATATGCACCTTGTGCAGCAACATGGACAACGCAATTTCTCTTATAACTATGGTATCTTTCTCCAACAATCTTTACTTTATATGTGTGCAGCTGCTGCGAAGTCTCAAGTATGTATATGAATTTTTGTACCCTTGTAGAGAGTTAATAATTGACACTTATAAGCACATATATATTAATATTATAATTTTGCCAGTATCAGTGAAGACGATATAGCCATGTCCGTCTTTCTATTGATATACAAACTAGTCTCTTTAAGTCTAAGGGCCTATCGTCATGAAACTTTGCATAGGCTCGTTTTTCTGTTGCAGCCAGTACACATGTCGGAAGCGGCCGTATCGGGCGACAATTTCAGATAGCTGCTATAGGATTGATTGCTAGAAAATTAGGTCCCCGCATGATCAATTCCTTTGTTAATTAAACCATCAGCACCAAACCTATGCTGCCCCAATATTGTATATCATATAGTGCTATAGGATGAATCGTTCGAAGAAAGAGTTTTTGTACGAGAGTATTTTGTTTTTCTAGATGTTTTCACCAAACTCAGAAATTACAAGTCCTACAATTCTCTTCACATATCTTCGAATATCTGAAATAACTGAAGGACTTGTATGCAATAGTTATCCAAATGGGTTTTTGTACGAAGAACTTTTCTGTTGTTTACTTCACTATTTCACTTTCCTGCACAAGCACTTCAAATCTATATACCTACAAGGGTATTTTATTTCTTTCGTGATATGCTAGAATTGTAACCTAATTGTTCTACAGCCCCATGCCTTCGGTCGCTCATTCAGTCTACTTTTACTTCTCGCTCATATATCTAATTGGGCGCACTTTGGCTGTATCCTTGTATGCAGCCAGCGTGCACGACGAGTCGCGCCGCTCACTGCGTTATTTGCGCTGCGTGCCCAAGGATTCGTGGTGCCCGGAAGTTAAACGCTTTGCCGAAGAGATTAGCAGCGATATGGTGGCCCTGAGTGGCATGAAGTTCTTTCATCTGACACGCAAGCTGGTGCTCAGTGTGAGTGTCAAACGAGAATTATAAAAATAATTTTCGCTATATATATATTTTCTGATGATAACAGGTGGCTGGCACTATAGTCACCTATGAGCTGGTACTTATACAGTTTCATGAGGATCAGGACTTTTGGGATTGCGATCAAAGCAGCTATTCGTAATTGTTAACATAACAAATGTTTATTTTATAGACATTTAAATCAATATAAAATTGTGTTTTGCATTTTTTATTATCGATGAAGCAGTAAGGAAACCAACAAAAGATCGCTCCTTAATATCAATCGGTTACATGCTTAACTAATTACACAACTACGTTCATATGTTCGTGTATGTGTATGTGAGATTGTAGAGTTAAATATCAAATATTATTTTTCTTTTAATACAATGGTCACTAGTTCACTTACAGGCTAAACATCTATTTTCTGGATAGGGGGTGAGTAGTGACTGGCATGGGATCTCTTAGTGGTCGGTGTTTTGGTGCCTTTGATTGATAACGATTTGAGTATACAATGCAATCGATGCAAAAGCTTCACACAAAAAATTCAGCTAAATATTTTCAATTATAAACTCGCTTAATTTTAAATTCAGTTGAGTTGGGGTTTTTCTTTCGTAATATTTTATAGTATTTTGCTACGACAAAGAAGGTAACATGTACGGAAGTCTGGTGGTTTCAAGTTGCTTATTTACTTGTTAACGTTTTTTAAAACCAGGCTTAAAATATGTATATGTATTGTAGATTGTACGATTAGTTATGTGTACATGTATGTATATATGGAACTAAAGCGGAAGCTTTTTCATGATTATCTATAAATATGCGTTTGTGGTCTGCTATAACTACACGGATTACGTCTGTCTGAGTTGGTTAGTACCACATACTTCATATGTGAGTTTTACTGCTGCTGGTAAAAGCAATTAAAAACTTGTTCGATGTTTGCTGAACGCCGCCAATTACATTACATAGCACATAGCGGGTTAAAGTACATGGATTGAGAAGGCATAAATAAAGTATCACATAGATTGAGATCTTAAATTAAAGCATAGTGAGAGTCCAAATAAATAAAAAACTAAGAGCAATATTAAATAAAGTAGACCTAACGAGGAATGCAGAAAAAAAAATGCGAGCGTGTATGAATGTTGCGTTGTGAGTGAATCAAGCGTAAGCTAGCAGTTACCCAATAACTGAGTGGTACGACTGTGCAGCTCAATGTCGCTTGGCATCATATTGCTTAACCTTCTCCGGTATGGCTGCCTTCTCAACAATCACATGCAGACCCAGTTCATCCAGAGATTTAACATAAACGAGCTTACGCCAGAATTTTGTGCTGTTTGTAGAGAAATTGACAAAGGTTAAGGAAATGTAAAGGATAGATAGTTCAAAGCTTATACCTGACAAACGGACGCGCCATCCATACCAAGGATTTGATCCAAAAAGTGGGATGCACCAAATACATGTGCTTCAGACTCTTGCGCAAGCGACGATCCAGCAGTTGATAGCAACTAAAAAGGAAATAATCAGTTAATATATTTTTGAATATAAATTATTTGGAACCCTTACCGTTTGAGCCATGGAAAGGGCGGAACATTGCGCCTGTTAGACCCGCCATGCAAATAAATGAGCACATAGTCATCTGTGACCAGCTGTTCTAGCGTCTTGACCACATACAGAAAAAGATTGTCCATGACATAGCTATAATCGGCACGGGATTTGTCGGGCAAATGACAAGCGCAGAATATGACAATGGCATTCTGTCCACCGGCCTTCAGATAACCGCCATGAGACAGCACACGTTTGTAGGGTTCAATGACACGCATGTCAATCTCGCGCGTGCGTCCATCTGGCAGCGTAATTTTTTGCCAATTGCGTGAATCGCGTCGCTCCTCATCCGCCGTATACTGTGGTAACTCTGAGGAGGCTGGTACTGTAACTGCTGTTGCTGCGGAGGCATGGGGTGTGGGTGTAGTGGTCATGCCAAAATCGTCCAGGTCGTCATCGTTGTCGGGCAGCAACTCGGGACCCTCGCATTCGTCGTCATCGTCGTCCTCGCCATCCAGGCCATCAATCAGCGAACTGGATGGGCTCAGCGATGCCAAATTGTGCTCGATATCTTCGTCATCGTCAAAACTATGATTTGATATGGAATCCAAGCTGGAGATGTCCTCACCACCAGCTACCATCGAGCGTTTTGTTTTGCGCGACGCTTTGTTGTTTGCGTTCGGCAGCAGCGAAACCGACTGAAAATTTGACTCCACAGCAGCCAAATACTGTGACACATCCGCATCCGACTCGCTGCTCAGCAGGTCTGGGCTATTTGCCCGCAGCAGACTCACCTTGGCGTCTTGTGGCTTCACCCGCATATTGTTTTGTTGATTCAATGTGTTCCGCACAGCTTCAGTTGCAGACTGCTCCGTACGCGGCACAACGTCGGGAAAATTTTTGCACTTTCCTAGAAATGGCTCCGAATCAGAGTCCGTGTTTGTGGGCGACATAAGCGGATGGCTATTTGCCAACGTGAGCGTGCGCTCCGATATTTGACGTTGTGGCATCGTTTCAACTGGCAGCAGTAACTCCGGACGCATTATTCGATTATCCAGAGATGACAAGTTTTTGTTTTCGTTATTCTCGCGCTCATCCTCGATCGTTTGCTGCGAGTCGGAGGTTGCTTTGTTTGGCATCGTGGCATTGGCACGCTCATCAGCCAGCGGTGAAACGCCTGTCGAGTCCGTGGGCGTCTCCGAGATGTCCATTTTGCTCTCGGACTGCGAAGATTCCGACTCCGCGTAGTGTCCACTGCAGGCGCAATCGATTAGTCATCACATTCGTCACTATATTTGCATTTTGCGCTTACCTCATAGTTTTGTTGAGTTTGGCAAAGCTTTAGCGAGTTGTTAGCAATTCTGTAATGCCGTTACGCATTCATTAATGTAGCGCATTCTTTAGAATAAGCATCACATCATTATCTTATTACCAAGTTTCACATCAGTACTTTGTTAGCAATCTGAGGGCTGATGCATAAACTATATGTACACTGGGCACACTTTTTACTTCTGACAGATATCGATATTTATCCAGGAAATAACAGAAACCAAATTTGAGATAACCATAACAAAACGACAACAAGAACATGAATTATAAAGAAATTTAAAATGAAAAAACTAAGAAATACTTTGCATTATTCGCATTGGACTTTAAGCTAACATCAATTTTAACTCAATTCTGTTAAAGAAGAGTATGAATGTTAAGCACAGAGTAATAATGTTAATCGGTGCTGCCACCACGCCGAACATTGTGACACGATGATTGTGACTTATCGAATAGTTGATGTATATCGATTTGTCGCAGCGTTACCAATACTTTGTGCGTCGCAAAAGAAAAATAAGAAATATTGCATAAAATAGCTATGGAAAGCACGCAATCACATGTAACAATTACAAATACTGCAGCATCTGCAAGTGTTCAAACCACCATGGCGCCTGTAGTTGCTTCGCACGCAGTAGACGTCCCTGCCACTGTCAGTGTGTCATCGACATCTGTCAACACTTGCGCAGCCCCAGCAACACCAACAATATCGACTGCAACAACAACAACAACAACGCCTTCGAGTAAAACTCCTATTCACAATTTGCCGATAGAGTTGCTACAAAACGACGCAGCAAAGCGTCGAAGGTGAGTTTGACATTTCAAGCTAACTGTAAACTGTTACTTGACGCCATTCGCCTGATAGTTCCTCGCGTACAATCAAACGAAAACGCTTCGACGACGAAATTGTGGAATACAATCTTACAATACCAACGAGCCGCGGCGGTGCTGATGCTAACCGCTCCAATCGACCGCGCACAACATCGCAAAACCATCCTGGAATTGTGACTACGCCAACTTTACTGCAATCGCCCTCTCCAACAGTTGTTGCTGTTACAGCAGCAGAAACGCCTCAGACTCCGGGTGCAGCAGTGGAAACGCTACCTGGCACCCCGACTTTAGTCACTGCTGCAGCTCCTGTGACGCCTTTAACGCCAGCAGCGCCCACGTTGCCGGTGCCCACAATTAACACTCCTGTGCAGCAACCGCAGCCGAAGCCAAAGCCTGTTATGGAGCGTGCTCCAGCCACTGAACGTCGTCCGCGGCCCTCGCGTCCAGCCAGCAACAAAAAGCCACGACGCAATGGACGCCCGCTGGCACAGATGGCTACCAAGGATTTGGGTCGCTGGAAGCCAATTGATGACCTGGCGCTTGTTATTGGCATACAGCAAACAAATGATCTACGCATGATTCATCGCGGTGTCAAGTTCTCCTGTAAATTTACCCTGCAGGAGCTGCAGCAGCGCTGGTATGCCCTGCTGTATGAACCAGCCGTGTCGCGGATTGCCGTGTCCGCCATGCGTAATCTGCATCCAGAGATGGTGGAGTCCGTACAGCGCAAGGCGTTATACAGCGTGCAGGAGGAAGATCTGCTGGGCACCATTAAGAGTGTAAGTACTCAACTTTCCTGTATGCTGCTTATGCATGAACGTGTTCAACCTCAAACAGACGGAGACGCCAAAGCTGGAGCAGTTCCAGGAGTTGCTTGACAAGAACGCCGGCGTTTTCTATTGTGCACGTACTGCCAAATCGTTGCATAATCACTGGCTGCTGCTCAAGCAGTACTGCCTGCTGCCGGACCAAACGGTCAAGCCGCTGCAGGGTTCGGATCAGCCACTCAGCTTTTCAGATGCAGAGGATCAGCTTTTCGATCAGGATCTGCACGAGCCGCGCGATGAGGCATTGGAAATTGAATTGACGCTGGCCGATCGCCGCAATAAGCGCGATATACGTCTGCTGGAGAACGAACTGTCACGTTGGGGCGTGCTGGTTGACTCAGTTTTGGGACCCACGGCAGCCAGCGAATTTGATAATCAAACGCTTGCCTGCCTTTGTGGACGCCTGGTGCGTTATCTAATGCGCTCCAAGGAGATAACATTTGGTCGCGAGGCCAAGGAGTGCGGTGTGGATGTTGATCTGTCCTTGGAGGGACCCGCTGCAAAGATTTCGCGTCGCCAGGGCACGATTAAAATGCGCAGCAACGGCGACTTCTTCATTGCCAATGAAGGTAAGCGAGCTATTTTCATTGATGGAACTCCGCTGCTGAATGGAAACAAGACGCGACTCGCCCACAATTGCACTGTGGAAATCTCCGGACTGCGCTTTACATTTCTGGTTAACTATGAGCTAATCAATGCCATACGACAGGAGAGCGCCAAGACATCGAATCATTTAAATTAAGCCTAGCCTAGTGTACATTTTAAAACAACAGCAGCTGTCCCTCTCAAGGTAGGTCGCTGTTATGTATTTCTATTCTTAATATCCAATAAGAAACAAGTTCTGGAATTATATGACATAAACAATGGCATAAACGAGTACTTACCGCCCACTTGACTTGCAAAGTCAATGTGCTCACACGCCTTCCATCGAGCGGAAGCAAGCAACAAGTTCGCAATTAAGCAAGACGCCCAAATAGCAAACAATGCCCTACCTAACAGCATATTCACTTTGTTATATCTGATGCATATAGTCTGATGCTAATATAATAACTTTTATAAAAGTGAAATGTAGATAAAACGGTCTCACCAAATTTGGACATTTTTCTGCTTGGTAATTTTAAAACAGGAAATATGTCGTAAATGGCTAAAAAGGATGTATTGTGGTTTAGTGCAAATGTACTTAAAAGGCTGAACTTGGTTTCTCCAGTCCAAAAACATTATATATATTCTTGGTCAGCATCAAAATCTCATTCCATATGACGCATGAGATCATAAGAGAATTATCATATCGCAGCTTACTGAGGGTGTGTTCTTGAATGTGTTTTGTTGCTGATGTACGTATGTATGAGAGGAAGTTGGGAACAGAGTATATCCTAATCGGACACTCCCGACTAGAGCTCATTTACATGTTTTTGTGCAAATGTATGTAACAGGCAGAAGGAAACTTCTCCGAACCCATAAAGTATATGTATTCGTGAACAGCATCATAGACGAGTCTATCTAGCTATGTCCGTTCGTCCGCCTGTCCGTTCGTCCGCCAGTCCGTTCGTCCGCCAGTCCGTTCGTCCGTCTGCCTGTCTATATGTCTGTCTGTCTGTATGTCTATCTGTCCGTCCGTCCGTATGTATGAATGCAAGGATTTCAGAACCTATAAGATATAGAGACTTGAAAATTGGCATGTAACCTTCTTGTGCCCGCACAGTAAGAATTTGTTTCCGATAATCGATAACTTGCTGCGTTCATACAAAAAATCGATAAAAGTCTTATCGAAATCCTTTTTTTTCTAGCAAATCTCTTAGGTTTTAAAAGCTAGTCACCCAAATTGACATGTGGCTTCTTGAATAGTATATACAGGTTAAGTATATGGTGTTGGTAGAAAGGGGTTTTAGGGTATCCCCTAGTCGGCAACTCCCGACTAGAACCTCTTAGTTGTTTTTTCTGGTTTGACACAAACTGTAACAGGATCATGTTCATTTGCTGGTCAGTTCTATGCAGCCCACACAGTTGGTGCGATTTGAGTTAAGAACTCCTACGCAGTTTGTTGGCAACTTCAGGCCAAGAACAACGACAAATTTGAGTTCTTGGGGCGCTATGTCATTTGGCTAATTTGCGACTGAGTCGTAAGCTGCTATTAATTACAGCGCAGTTTTTGAAAGTATCTACCCCAAAACCATTCTATTCTATTCGCATCAGTCAGCCGAAACAAAAACAAAAAAAAAAAAGCAAATCTGCGCTTTTGGGAATTTCTGATTAACGCTGAGACACGCGATTGTTTAAAGTTCTTCTCATATGTAATTAGAAATAGCAAAATTTAAATAAAGTCTTTTGTCAAATTACACAATTGTACTTGCTAAAATATGTATTTTAAAGTCGGCTAAGTGTTTCCCATTGTTCTGACTAAAAAAGCTGGTCAACCTTTGTGACTTCAGCTGATGCCAACAAATTTTCAGCTCGAGATGCCAACTGATAGGCAATTGCAGCATTTGTTGGTTCGTTTCAGGCGTCTGCCAAATCATAATTAATTATTGTGTGGCTGACAACACCTGTAACATAATATAGAAATTAGCCGAAACAAAGGGAACATGGAGAAAGTTCGATGACTTTCGGCGTCTGCGACGACCTTTCTTCGCCGCTGTCCTCTCGCCGCCTCTTCCATGGTCTTTAAGCCGCATTGTTGACACTTTAAACTAATAAGCTGTCGGCCGTGCTCAGCGGCACTGAGTCTTCTGCCAATCTGAGCCAGAGTCAAGACGGAGTCCAGAGTCTGGGGTTTTATCTTTGTCCCGGCTGTCGGTTGCAGGCATATTAAAATATAATTAATTGTTGTCACTGTCTATAAAAAGTCAATTTGTTTTCGATAGTTCGAATTTTTAGCTTGGAATTTGGCTACGCTTCTTCTGCTTCTTCTTCAGCATCTTCTTTGTAGATCTTTTGCTTTGGTTCAACAACAATTCGAACGTTGATTTGTGTGCATTTTTTGTGGCCAAAATCATCAGCTGCTTTCTTTTTGCCCAAGTTAGCTGATGATGCGAGAATGAACTAATGAAGTTTGGCTTTGTCTTCTTTTTGTTGCTGTTGTTGCTATTTTAACGCTTTTTTTTTGTTATTACATATTATATCTTCTGCTGCCTTTGTGCAGTTCAGCGAACTTTTGTTGTTGCGATGCTTCGCTGATGTCGCAACTGCTAAAATTAGTCTAAACTATTTTTTTGTTCTTTTGCTTTTTCTATTAGCGTAGGTCATGCTGTTTTTTTTCTCCATGATTAATTTATTTATTTATTATTTTTGCCCATTTCTACTAACTGTTAGTCTGTTAGCCAAAGTAGTTTTGCACCAAATTCTGGAGCGTTGGCGATTTTTTAATGCTCGTTATGAGTTGGTTCTGTTCATGCGTGGGTGCGAGAGATTTTGGCTCTTGTTTTTGTGGGGCAAAACTTTCACAACCCAATTTGCTGCTTGGATTAGCTGCATGAGGTCATATTAATGACCTGGATTTGAACCAGATTTGATCGGTTTGCCACCTGCACCTTTCAGTTGACATAACACCATTATTATCTTATGCACTACAACGCAGCTTACATAAAACTAAAACAACAAAACTGTCAAAGTCAGATCGCGTGAACAGTTCGTGACTTTGCAGGAATAATATTGAAAATTATATGTGAACCATACTTTCTTCCGAGACAATGCTGTAGCTTTAATACCCTTTAAAATTTTTATATAACATCTGCTAAACCTCACTAAAAATAAATCGTGCTTAATTTTTTTCAATGGCTAAGATCCAATCTGAAACACATTAATAACTAGTATAGATTGAAAACCCATCGTTCTGTGAACACATTTTATCTCGATCTAAATAGAAAAAGTCGCGATTGCATTAATAATTCTGTGTAAATTTCCGCTTTATTTTGTAGCGATTGGATGCCAAGATTAGGTATAACCTCTTGGCATCTTAGGGTATCGGCAAATGTATACAAAGTTAAAAAAATAGTTTACAAATTGACAAATTTGCCGAATCGATATGCAGAAATCAAAGCTTCAGTGGGTCTTCTTCATACCGCAACTTCACCCCCCTATCCATCATCGTCCAAATGGAAACGTTGTCGTCCCGTGTTACATTGAACAGCTTGGCCGTAAGCGTTTTATTTCCTCTGTGCGTTTGTGTACAGTGTGCGCCATAAGTGCACGCACATGGATTATACAATGCGCAAATACGATAACATTTATAATACTTCATAGTTGCTCAGTTGATTCTGTTGTTGTTGCTTTGTATTAATTTTGCTAATCGCGTTTCGATCAATTTGATTTCAATTGTCAAACGCACAGCAATGTCATGGGCGGCGGGGGTTTGGGGGCGTAAACAGCTGAGTGACACTTTTGGACAGCGTGTCGTATGCGTCATGTTAGATATTTAAATTATGTTTCGCTTGTAACGCATAAATAAACCAACTACTCGAATTTGTTCCGCGTTGCCTTTTATTTTGGCTGTTGCTCATACGCACTGAGGTACGCGCGTCTGCGAGCTGCATGCTAATAAGATAGACTTCGTTTGTTTATTGAAGCGAATTGCAAATATATTTCGGCCTGTGAGCAGCGCATAGCCTTAGATTTATGAAATGTTTAGGTTTTTTTTTCGTGTGATTTAGTGTGGAGGAAAATGATATCATGGCAAAGGCAATGTGTGACGTCACTGTAGCAGCGCCCACAACATTGCAAGCGTTATAGGCGCAGTTAGCCACGAGTCGATTCGTAGTCGGTATCTGTAAGAAATTGGTGGCGACTCAAGCGCCAGCCGGCGGCAACAAGTTGAACCGATCGACAGCCTTGAAATGCGTCGCTCCATTAGACAGCGACAGCCACAGCGACTTCGACTGTCAGTCACCCACGCACTCCAGAGCCAACAATAACAACAATAACAACAGCAGCAGCAACAACAATTCCAACAACAATAAACGCACTGGCGCCAAAATCAACTATGCTCAATTTGCAAACTCCACTTTGGAGCTTAAGAGCTCAAGTTGTTATTTGAGCCGAGAGATCTTTTTTCTGCAGACAAATAATTACAACGATTTTGATTTTTTAATTAAATCAAGCCACAAGGCAATGCCTGATTGTGGGTATACACATTGATATATGTCTCTTATGTAGCCGTAGTTTTATGACACATGTGGGCGCCATATTCCTTAATGGATTATTTATATCATAATTTTATCTATTTTTATAGCGAATTAATGCCGCTGACTCAAATGTGAGTTGTTTATTGATTTGTAAAACTACAAAATGTGTTTGTTTTTTCTTATTTTTATAAATATTTTTTATTGTTTATATCATGTTGGCATTAAATAATGCAATGTAATCATAATCATCTATGCAAAGCTGCTGCCTGAGAAGTTCAGATCTAGAGGACTGCAACTTTTACGATCGTAAATGTGGAAAATTTAGGGAATATAATTGTAGGAGATTTTTTTGTTTACTAATCCATTTCACTTCCTCACTATTAAGAATTAACGAAATAATTCATTGAAGACGCACTTCTCAGTTTTCGTTACACTCATCTCGCTTGTTGAAAAATTGAGAAGTAACTTCTAACGTGATTCATCGATTCACCAAAATCCGGTGGGTGCAAACGTGGGTTCAAAGTAATAGGGCTGATGTGTGGTTCAAAATTTATACATACTAAAAGAGATTGCCGGACCATGCCAAGATGTGTGTGTGTGTATATATATGTGTGAAGGTATGCATGTTCGCTTATGAAAGACGCTAACCAAGTTTACTTTCCTTTTGCAATTTACAAGAAACGTATTAAATATTGCCCTATGATGCGCTTCTCATTAATTCCAGTAAGACTTGGAGGTTTTTAGTCTTTCATTATATTA